GAGGAAAATGATGACGATGACGATGGCGCTGGCGATGTCCATGATGGCACTGATGATGATGTTGCGAATGCTGGCGCTGATGGTGGTGGTGATGATCATGGCGATAATGCGGGTGACGATGATGAGGGCACCTGTCCTGCTTGACGCTCTGACCCGCGTGGCCATTGTAACCCGCTGAGCTTTTGATTCCCATGGCCGAAGGATTCGCCAGAGTCCGCGAGCGAGCTCAGTAGCTCATTGTTCAAGGACGCATCGAGCGATGGCCTCATGTTTACCGGAAGGCGCCTCGAACGCACAATTTCAAACATCTTGTTTTTTCGAGGATGTCTCCAGCGAGACGGCGGTTTGTTGGGGGGCATTTTGAGGGGGCGCCTCGCGGACATGGACGAGCAGCAGATCCGCTACAACCACATTGGATTGCTGTCTTTACGAGCATAAGGGAGAACATCTTTCGACGCTGATCCGTTTGTCCCCACCATGTTTCACAAGAGTATATTCGTCGGGCGGGGCGAAAGTCCCGCGCCCGGCCTGGGAACCTCTTGTGCCGCTGTCTCCGATGGTCTCGTCGACTCCAGCCATGCCCCTAACTGGGTCAGGTCTGGACCCTGCGAGTGCGGCATTAGCTGCCGCGCCCGCCCTGGAGACCCTCGCCCAGGTACTTCGACAGGGATGTTCCTCCAACCCTCAGGCCATCGCCGAGATTAATGAGGGTGCCTTGCAGGAGGAGGCACAGCGTCTCATCGCACTTCCGCAAGACGAAGGCACGGCCTCATATCGGGCCGCCGATCCCAATCGCGACAAGCCCGATCCAATCTCGAAGAATGCCTGGCAGGCCATGGGCCGTTCGCTCAATGCCGATCCCACCTGCGAGATTGATATCTCGAGCCTTCAGAGTCTCGGCAGGTTCGTGTCTGGCGCCAGTCGCGAGATCCGCGACACGCGCGTCGTGGAAGGAACGCTTGCGGATATGCAGATCCAGCGCCCCCGCTGCGGCACATGCTACCGCGATCTCTCTGCTGGCACACCTGGCGGATATCATTGTTTGTTATGTATTCGCGCGAGAGCTTTCGGTGCGCGGGGCGACGCATAGATTGCCTGCGCGGCGGATCTCCACACTTGGATCCGCAACAATCTCGGCCAGGCCCAGGTTGATGAGCTCCTTCAGTCTGACGCGAGGATCCACTTGCAGGGCAGCCGCTCCGACTGGGGTCTCGAGAACGATGGCTCCGGAATCGCGCGAAGCGGGCGTTGGATAGCCGTGGGCTCTGGGCACAGGCCAACCGCCCCCTGGCGCGCGAGGGCCGGGCCCCTGGCGGCCCTCAGTCAGAGACGTGCATTTCTGTATGAGCCGATGTCATTGACCGCTTCTACAATGATCCCACGTCCCCCGTTCTACTTCCAGGCCACGGCAACGCGCGCGTTCGTCGTCGATGACATGCGTAACGCCAGCCGTTCCCACGTGGAAAGCGCCATGCATGGGCGCGCTGGTAGAAAGGCGCGGGCCAAGGAATGACGGCGGGCTGTCCCGTCAGCAGCGCCTGGGCGCACGCCGCGTCGCCGCCGTCGCTCCGAAAGCGGGCGAGACCGGCCGCGGGACTGCGACGGCGTCGCAGCTGGAGGCGAAAGCAGAGGCCGGCGAACGGCGCATTGGCGAGGCCAGGAAGGGGGTTAATCTTCGGGACAGGGAGAGGATCCCACGATCCACTCAGCCACCCCGCGCCACTGACGCCCGCCCGCGCGACGATGCCGCCGCCCCTGCTGCCCCCGTGGCGCCTGCGCCCGCGGGCAACAGCGCCGCTGGCAGTGGCGACGCGGCGCCGTTCCCGACCTCCCGCGACGCCGGTGGCGACGCCCGCGCGCCCGCGACCCGAACCGGAACGCAGGCGCCTCCGCCCGCGCAGCGCGCAGTGGAGGGATAACATGAACGACAGCCGCTGGGGCCCGAGGTGTTGGTCCGAGACATGCGGCGCACGCGCGCGCGCGTCGACGACGACCGCGAATATCTCTGGGATCCTTATTGGCAGAATGGTTGCAATCAGTGGACTCGCGCCGAGACTGCCACTCACCGCGGCGACCGATGGCATTGGCATGGAAGCCGCTGAGAATGATGCATACAAATCGAACGTGAGCGCGCCCAGCTTCTCTCGCGTACATGCATTCAGAATGGTCGCAGCAATGAAATTGGGATGGAGGCCCATCTGCCGTTTTGCCATTCGAAGAATGGCCGCACTTGTCATGGAAGTTGGGACAAATATGAGGAGCCCGAAAAATGCGATGGCACTACTTTTCATGATTCCATCGTGTGGGAAGTGATTGGTGCATGGCATCTGTTCCCGTGGGCATTCAGTTGCTGCACTAACCAATACACCACTTGAAGAATGCATGGATGATACAGTTACCGATTGAGCAATATCTTGATCTGTTTTGGACACCGCTGTGAAGTTACACTCTGCGGTACTTCGATACTTTACATGGCTTCCAGCACGGCATATCAGGATTGCAAACGCGCGAGTTGCTTGCCTCGCTACGGCAGGCGAACATTTGCCGCACCGCCTGATACTCTGAAGTGTCCCTTTTGGTTGGTGGAGACAACTGCGCCGCCGACGCCGTGTTGTCGTCCGCCGTGTGACCCAGCAGGTATGTGTTGCTACTCTTCCCTTGACTCTTCCTGTCGCACCCCATTCCGTGGCTTCCCTGCGTGCCCGATGCATTTTGTTGGGGCGTGCGCTCCAGTGGGGGCTATGGGTTTTGTGGCAAAGGGTAATAGGTACTTGGCAGGCTTTGTCTTGCCTCACTAGCCGACTGGGGCTTTGCTGCGCGGTGACTAATGAGAGGGGCTCCTTACCTCTATCCCGGAGCCCTTGTTCGCCTGCGTTGTCATTGGGGGGCATGCTTTCGGGCGGGATGCGGGACGGCGCGCGCGCGTGAATAGCCCCCCCCTTTCCAATTCTAACTATTCCTTGCCGCTGCCCCTGTCGGCTCAGGTGCTAGAGGCCTCCAAACCTCACGTCTGGGTGCACAGGGCTGAACAGCATCGAAGGATAAAGTTTTCTATCGCTGTCATCCTTCCTCTTTCTACGGATCTCCTCCGGACGGACGGTTTGACATTTCGGTTCCCTGCCTCCGCTCGCACTCCCCGCCCAAGCGAAAGCAAAGGCTGTGCAACCCCTGGAGGTGACGGGCGAGGCGCCGGTGAACAAGGCGACGATTTTCGGATCAAGCCATGTGGGGACGGATCCAAGCGAGGGGTCCTGGAAACAGTTTATGTAGAAAGTTTTGTGTTTTTCCGCACCTTGCACCCCATGACAAGAATTGGGAGAAAAAAGGGACAACTAGTCCCGCACTTGCACTCCTTGCGGAATGCGCAGTGGGGTGATGAACGCATCAACCTATACGTGAAGCTTGGTGCTTTTGTGATGGTATGCAGATTGGTTGAATGGTTTGTTATTTTTTTGTGTGGTCGCAGCGGGATCGGTTGTATCCAACGCAATGTAGCTTATGACAGGCTTCGCGAGTTGGCTGCTGATCCTCACCGCCCTCCCAGCGGGGATGTTTCAGTGCGCTTGGATCCCAGGGGCATGGGCACCAGTGCTAGCAGTCGCTCGGACATGTTGTCCGCGATCCCTCCCCGGCCATCCTAATCTAGCATGCCGCAGCGGGGAGATCCACCCTTCCCCCACGGCACCGTCCCGCAGTTGTCAATACCGTTGCACACTTCCTGCGTTCGTTGTTCAGCGACCGCGCGAGGTGCAAGCGGGTTGCGTTGCATCTTCGAGGGCCTTGCCTGTCAGGCAACGAGTTGCTATCCAGTTGCTTGCAGCAACTCCCGCCAACGTGACAACTCAAGTTTCTGACTGGCGACCGTTCGGGGGGCACGAACAGCCATCACGCGTGACACCTCGTGTGTCCAATTTTGGTAAAGCCGTGATGAGGACTATGAGAACGATGGGGGTGATTACGATGACGACCGTAATGATGGTGCTGTCGTTGAGGATGACGATGCTGATGACAGTGTTGGGTGCCAGGGGCGATCCTCTTGGGCCGTCTTGGATGCCTATTGGGCCATCCTGGAGTCCTCTTGGGCCGTCTTGCGCTGACAGTAGCCCGATAAGGCGAGAATGTGACAGTCATTCAGCAATCCAAGGCTTCGGATTCTCTTGGAGGTCCTCATGTCGCTATGTTTTTGGCCCTTTTGGATGCATGTTGGGTTGTCTTCGAGGCATCTTGGGCCATGCTGGTGTCCGTGGTTGCCTGCGCTGGCCGCCTTGGAAGCTCAGGACACATATCCATCGTTTAACCGAATGATCGTTGCTTGGGAGGCCCTAGAGCGCTTGGGAGCAACGCCTGGGAATGCGGGAAGTGTACGATCCTCGAGTGGGTGCGCCTGGGATGAGAGGCCTTGGAGTTAGCTGCCATGCGGGAAGAGCACCATCTTCTAGCGGGCGCGCGTGAGCGGTTCCGGCATTAGTTGCCATTTGGGAAGTGCACCATGTTCGAGCGGGCGCGCGTGGACTGGTGGTTCAGCCATTGGCTACCATGCGGATAGTGCACCATCCGCGAGCGGACACGCGTGGCATGAGAGTGTAGGCATGAGCTGCCATGCGTGAAGTGCACCGTCCTCGAGCGGGCACGAGGGAAGTGATTTTGGTGAATGGGAGGGTGCACGCATCACTCTGCTGGTAGAGGGAGGGGCGGTCAAGCATTAGAATCTCAAAACCCTCGCAGACAGGCCTTGGCATTCTTCCTCGCGTCGACGTGCCAGGGGGCCATGTGGCGGATTTTCTCTTGTATATATCCGACACGGGTTCGACGTGTCTTCGACGCGGGTTCGACGCGGCGGCGCGGTGGGACAGACAAGGCCCCCTGAATGTGCGAACACAGGGCGAGATTGGGGTTCCTCGGGTGACGGTCGCTCCTGCCCATCCTCCGCCTCCTCCAGTGCGCACCTCGTGCGCCTCGCGGCGGGGGCGGCCCCAGGCGGCCAGCCGGATGCTGCCCGTAGCCGCTGAGCTCAAAGGCCGACGCATTTAGACTGGCAGTGTCGCTCGGCTCTCCAGGCCCGAATCCTCACGGCGCCTGGCGATGGCCGACCTGAGTGCGGTGTTCTCGGAGGCGGACACGGTCATTCTCTCGTGCCGCCTCTGGCCAGCCAGCAGGCAGTTCGACTCCCACCGCTTCGGCAGCGGGTCCACCACGGCGAGCTGCAACGACAAGAGCATGCCCCTCTCAGACCTCTCCGAGGTCCAGGGCTGGACCTAAACGGTGTTTTGCTGGACTTCGGCTGTGTTTTGTTTTTCGTTTTAGGAGGAATGTACAGGAAAGCAGGTAGAGCAAAACGAAACATAAAACGAACACAAAGCGAACAACAACGTTTAGGTCCAGCCCCGCCGAGGTCGCTGGAGGCGTCCTGGCCGAGCAGTGCGGCGAGCCCCTCGCCGGATTCTCCAGCGCGCAGGGCACGGCCGCGCACGAGGCGGGCGTGGACGTGGTCCAGAGCCGCCGCAGGCGCATCGCGCAGCGGCGGGCCCTCGGCAGGGAACGACTTATGAGGTCGACCAGTGGCGAAGCGTCCCGACTCGCAGTAGAGGCCCACGAAAGAATGTTCCCAGCACCTTTTTGGATGTGCACGAGTTGTTCTCAGAACCTTTCTGGCCGAGGCAGTGTTCTTGTAGCATATCCGCTTTTTATGGGCTCTGAAAGCACGGCTCGTGCTCCAAGGACATGATTTTGCTCTGAGGACTTCCCGTGGTAGGCCCATACAGTCGGCCTGGGTTAGTAGACCGACCCTGCCAAGTCAAGGGTACGTTTGTGTCCTGTGTCTCGCGACCCGTGCCTCCCACATCCCTGTGGTAGTGTGGCCCTCGGAAGGGCCTGTGGTCCTCTCGCGTGCCCTGCCCAGCGAGGCCCGACTGCAGAGATTTGCCGGGTCGCTCGTCCCCTGCTCAATGCGAGGGCGCAGCCCGGCGGCGAGGGCGAGTGGTCCGAGCACCTCTGCGGCTTCTGCAGCAGCGACTGCCGGCAGTGCGCGGCCTCGCGCGCGGTGGACCGCCCGCCCGCGGTCGAGGAGCGCTCTGGCTGAGGCGGTTCTCCGCAGCCCGCTGCGCGGGGGCGCCGTCGACGAGGCCCACGAGGGGCTCCAGCCGGCGGCGAGCGAGGGGGTATAATCAGGAGGGGAAAAACACACAGACACAATTAATCGTCGATTCCATGGAAAATATGGGAAAATATGGGATGTGGGGAACAGGAAATATGGGAAAATATGGGGAATATGTTTATTTGTGTGTATTTATTTGTGTGTCCCAGGGCCACTTCATATAAGCGAGCAGGGGCGGGCCTTCGCAGGAGGCCTTCGCAGGAGGCTAGGGGAAGTCCCCCGGCCGTCGGAGAAGAGCTCGGAGCCTTCTCCCCGAGGGTGCCAGGCATTTGTGCTCAGAGCGGCGCGAGGGCTCCCGAGAAGCCTCGCGGGCCTTCTGAGGAGGCCTGCCCCTGCTCTCTCTCCCCCTCCCCCCTCGCTCGCCTCCGGTGCAGGCTGGAGCCGTCGAGGGTCTGAAGAGTGGCCCAGTCTTGGTTCTGGCCTCGGAGGGGGGCGGGCAGGTTCGAGGTCCTCTGGGTTCTGGGCGGCTTGTGCTGTCTGCTGGGCTTGTCTTGTCTTCCACCACCACCACCACCACAAGTTGGAGGGGTGGGAGAGTCGGGCCGAACGAAAGGGGGGGATAGGGAAAGGGGGGGTTACGAAATCTGCTGCATGCAGCTGGTTTCAGCCCCGCCTCGGGGCCCATTCCTCGATACATGGGCGCCTCCGGCGCCGGGAGGCGCCAGGAAAATCGCCTACGTGAGCTGATTCTCAAACCCCCCCTTTGCTATCCCCCCCTTTCGCCCGACCCGAGAGAGGGTCCTCCTCCTCCTCCTCCTCCGCCGTGGTGGTGGAACGCAGGCCCATGGCCGCCTCTCTAACCCTCGGCCTCCGGAGGCCGTGGTCGGGCCCAGGTCCGTGGAAGTCCGGATCCGGAGTGAAGAAGTTGCACCAGTCGGGGGGCCTGGACAGACCTCCTACCCTGGCACGTCGATTAGTTTTTCGCTTCGCGAGGCGAGAGGGCGTCGCGGCCGTCGTTTTTGCGGGTCCAGGTCCGTCGGTTTCGGCCCCAGGCCGTTTTCACTCAGGGGAGGTTTACTAACGGGAGGTCTGTCCACCGCCAAGTCTGGGGACCGATGTTCTGGGGCCTCACAGCCAGTTCGGACTCCCTGGCCGCCTCCAGGCTTCAGGGCCGGGCCCCTCGGACGCCGCAGCCACGGGGCGGATGTTCGCTCCTGCCTCTCGCGGCCACGGGCCGCTTTTTCGTTGTGCGATGGCGTATCCGCGGGATCGCGCCCTGGGATCTAGACCGCGAGGGCGAGGATAGGATAGGAACGCCGCTCGTGACTTCGGTCCCCGGTGCCTGCAGTAGCTGTCAGAGGTGATCGCAAGGATGTTGAGGAGCAGGAAGGTGAGGAGGAGGAGGACCAGGAGGAGGAGGAGGAGGAGGAGGAGGAGGGAGAGGGAGGATGAGAAGGAGGACGAGGAATTTATTAGATCTTCCAGAATTCGAGCATCTATAGTTGTGCTTGGTGCGGGGGTCTTGGTCGAGCCACGATCCCATAACTGTCCGAAGTGCGCCTGGACGGCCCCTATAGCAAGGACATGGCTCGATACCTAAGCCTTCCTAAAGGGAGGGATTGACCCCAGCACGACAGAGCACCTCGGCCGCAGCATCCCCATCACAAAGGAGATGAGAAGCTGTGCTAGACCAATTTTCGACACGCCGTGCGCGCTCGCGCGCTTTTTCTCTGCCGCGTGCTTCACATCGTCGGGCCATGGTGAAAGATAAGTCGGGCGTGTCCCTCTACAGCGGGAATATTGAAAATAATCATAAAATTGTCAGAGGCGAGTTGTCGATTATTTTCTGACCATTTGTGAGTATGTTTGGTTACTTGTCATTTGTCCTGCAACATCTGCCTGTAGGGGGACATACCCGACCCAAGTGAAAGGCTGGAATATTGAAAGGAGTACGGTCGGACCGAGCCACAAACTCGTGGTCGGTACGGGGATAGGTACCCTGATGTTCTCCGTATGTGTTGGATATACTTGTGCATCCCGGAGGAGGGTACCCTCGAATGTTCTTCAGGTTGGCCGGCGGAGTGTTGCATGTTCTTGCAGGAAGTTCTTTGGTCCTCGGTCCAACCGTGCGAGGATGAGGAGGTGGAGGAGGAGGGCCGCGCCACATGGAGTCGACACCTTGTGGTCAGTGTTTTTGCCATTCTGGCAAATGGGCACGCCCTCTTGAGTCGAAGATGTCTAGTCAGGCTTGCCTCGTCGAACGGCACATGTGCCCGACCAAGCTGGACGCACCACCCATTACTGAGGCGTGCTGGCAGGATCTCGTTGGCGCTCAGGCTGTAACCAGGCGGAGGAGGAAGCGGAGGAGGAGGAGGAGGAGGAGAAGGAGGAGGAGGAGGAGGAGGAGGAGGAGGGAGGAGGAGGGAGGAGGAGGAGGAGGAGAGCTTCCCTCGCGGAGCTGCGCGCGTCCAACGGCGCCACCCCGCACCCCTCGCGCTCTCGAGGCGGGGCCCTCCGGAGCCGCGGGGGCTCCCCGGGCCCCGCCCCCGCCCGCCCCCCTCTCTTCTCCTGCCCCCGGGGACCTGGCGCCGTGCACCGCCCCCGCCCGCCTCCCAGACCTCCTCGAGCAATGAAAAAATCATGACGGGATGTTTTTCCTGATTTTCGGCCTCGGGGGGCCCTCACCGGGCCTCGGGAGCGTCAAAAAACGACTCAGGATGCAAAGCCGGTCATGGGGAAAGGGTCCAGACCTCTGGGGGTCGACGTAATGAAAAAATCATTACGTCGTGGGTCTGGGCTCTCTCTCCTGCTCCGCTTTGCCCAGGAGGGGAGAACACTTTTTTGATCTGCAGGGCGAGAGCGAGCCTCTTCCGCTGAAAGCTGCGCGGGACGCGCACAGCTTGAATTGGCAGGGAGGGGGCGAGAGCAGGCGGGGCCTCGCGCGGCCAGGGGGGTCGGGGCCCAGGGATCAGGCGGCGCCGAACGGGACGTGCAGGAAAAGGTACACCTTGGACAGGAGCCCGGTGGTGAAGTCCCGGGAGGAAAGAGGGGAGAAAAAACACACACACACACAGACACAATGCATCGTCGATTCCCCAGAAGATATGGGAAAATTATGGGAAGTGGGGGGGGGGGAAGACAGAGACCCAGAAGACATGGGAAAAGATGGGGAAGCTTTTCATTTGTGTGTAGTTGTTTGTGCGTCCTGGCGCCCCTTCATTTGCGCTGGAGAGCCGGCCCCTGGAGTTACGTCGGGCCTGTCCCTCTACAGGGGGAATATTCAAAACATTAAAAACTAAACAATAGTCTGGGGACGTTGTTTTTGTTGACCAGTTGGGGGTATTTGCTGGCGATTCTTCATGCTTCGCCTAAGCTCCCCCTGTAGTGGGACAGGCCCGACCTGACCCTGGACCGCTTCCATCCTGGAGCACAGCCCGCTCATGCGGCACCCATCGGGGGCAACGCAAAGGGGGGTGTGGGCTGTAGCCGGTAGGGGCCCGATAGCATGCCCCGCCCGGGAGCGTGTCGGGGAGACGTAATTTTAGACTCGAGCAAGCCGGAACTCGGGTTTGCCGAGCTTTTTTGACGAGCGCGTCCTGGATTTTGACGGTCTCGTTCTCGTGGGATGTCTTCAGCAGGAGCCCGCGTCAGATTTCAGATTGGGTCTCGACGTTTTTTGTGATGGCCCCCGTCAGGCCCGTCAGGCCAACCCGAGCCCCCCGTACCCGAGTCTTACGTCTCCCCGTGCGTGGGGTTTCGCCACCGGGGGCCTCTCGCCGATCTATCGGCGACATGCGGTCGATCTCAGCTCGATGTCCCCCCCTGAGCCGGCGGCTCTCCACCGTCCCCCTTCAACCAAATATTACGTCGGGCCTGTCCCTTTACAGGAGGAATATTTAAAAATAGTCAAGCAATAGTCCGGGGACGATTTTTATGCTATGTTTGTTAATTTTTGAATATTCTTGTGGTATGTTTATTTTTTGTCCAAAATCTGCCTGTTTGGGGAGATGCCCGACCTAAACCAAATATCTGGAACCATGAACTTCAGGCCCCAGGAGACCAGGACACAGACAAACCAGGACACGGAGAACCAAGGAACCGACACCCTTCCCTGCAAAGTCACATTTTCCGTTCTCGCGCAAGTTGTTGCTGCTGCATTGCAATATTCGGGTTTGTGCCAAGGTTTAGGAGGGTTCTGCAGGCTTTTTCTGGTCTGCGTCCAGGTTTATTCTGGAAGTTCTGTAGTGCAGTCTTTCGTTCGTGCCGCTGTCTGAGAAAATGGTTTCGAGATATGTTGGGTGTCCAGGTCTAGCGTGTCCGGGTGTACGGGGCCCTGAGAATTTCAGACGGACCCCACTGTGAACCTGACGTGAGCCAGATAAACGCGCGGCAGCTACACACGCCCAGCCCGCCGCAGAGGCGAATGGATCGGCCGTCCTGTTGGAAGCGATTCATCCTCTCTCCTTCTGCTCCACCCTCTCATCCTCCCCCGTCCTCCCCCTCCTCTCATCATAGCTGGCAACATGCACTTAAGAGGCTTACGCCATTCCACCAGCCCCCAGATGGAGTGAGGAACCCATGAACATTCCTCGACAATGTTGTACCCACATGATCCGAGCATGTTCTTTGGGTGGAGGGCAAAGGGTGGAATCTGAAATACCGTTCCGATTGATGTTCGAGGCTTGAATTTGCAAAAGGTGAATCACAAGACGGATTGATTTTCGAGGTGCAGAAGCCCATTTGGATTTCACCCTGAGCCCTCCACCCTAAGATAATGCTCAGATGACGTCGCGGCTCTCAGCCATGTTTGGCTAACATGTGTTTGGGAGGGGGGCAGCCCAGCATCATGCACGTCTTTTCTGTACCCCTGGCAGCCGAAAGTCGAAAAGGATTCAGATAAAAAGGTACAGGGGAAGCGCCTCACTCTTCCACATGGGGAGCCCACCTCCGCAAACGGGATGGTAGGAGGAGGAGGAGGAGCAGAAGGAGGAGGGGGAGGAGGAGGAGGAGGAGGAGGAGGAGGAGCAGGGGGAGGAGGAGGAGCAGGAGCAGGAGGAGTGCGGAGAGGGATAGGAGGAAGGGAATGGCATAATGATGGCACGTGCGACGGCCAGGTGGAATATCAATCGGCAAGGGGGCGGGAAGGATTTGGGAGGTGAGTGCAGAAGACCAAATAGACGAGGAGGAGGAGGAGGAGTTACGATGAGCCCAGGATGACGACTGATTTCTCTTTTCTTTTCCTCTCCTCTCCTCGCCCTCCCTCTCCTCCATTTCGTCGTCTCCGAGCCCGAGCCTCGCCTCAAGGGCTGCTGGCGGTCTGTTGTTAATGTTTGAGCTTTCTTGGGTTTTCATGTGACGCCTCCTGGCGGCCAACCCAGAAGAGGGAAGCAATCCACGAGTGAGGTTGTGTGTTGGGGACTGTTTTGGCACCTCTTTTGGGCCTCTCGTTTTGGCACCTCTTTTGGGCCTCTTGTGGGCCTCTTGGGGCCTCTTGGGGGGTTCTTCGGCGCCTGCTGGCGGTCTTAGGGTTCGATCTACCCCTCTTTGGTTTCTCTTGTGGTGGCTCCTCGCAGGCCATCTTGGAGGCTTCTTGGGCCGTCTTGGAGAGAGGGAGCCTCTTGCCGCGTGTTGGGCTGTGTGGAGACCAACAAGACGATGTTCGCCTCTTGGGGCCCTGTGTGGGCCCTTTCGGGGGCCCTCATCGGAGCGTTTCCGGGGTGCCTTCGAGGCCACGTGAGCTGTCTTGGGGCCATCTCGGCTGTTTTGCAGCTCTCCTCGGCGTGCTGAAGCCCAGCTTGAGCCAGCCTAGATGGCACCCTGGACATCTTGGAGGCCACGGAGTGCAGCTTGGGAGGCCCCAAGGGCCTCAAAGTCGGCGGCGAGCGAGGGAGGGAATCGAGAAGAGGCGGGCCCTCTCAGACGGCTCGGAAGTGCCCCAGCCTTCTGAGAAGTTTTGTAAGCCTTCCCGAAGACACAGAAGACCTCCCAGAAGGCGCGAGGGCTTCTGAGAAGTCCCGCCGCCTTCTCACCTCCCCCCCTCGCTCGCGGCCGATAGATGGCACCTTGGGCCTCTTGGAGGCCACGGAGTGTAGCTCTGGCGGCTCGGGAGGCCCCCAAAAAGGAGCGGTGACGCCCGGGCTCCGCTCGCGCTCGTCCTCCTTCCTCCTTCGGCGTCACCCCGACATGCTTTTATGATACGCGCGCCGCCCTCCACAGGGGCGACGCGCGCACCGAGAAATCTGATTGGATTTGCGTCGTGGCGGGCGCTTTCTGGCCACACCGCTCGGGAAACGATAGACTACAAGATGTATATACAACATGTTCGCGTCGGACGCGCGCCTCCCAGAATTACATCGAGCACGAGCATGTCTC